CGCTGCAAGTGCACTTGCTGAGGTTCAGGCTGAGAAGGCAAGTGTAAAGGCAAACACTCCCGCTGCAACTGCACTTGCTAAGGCTCAAAAGGGAGTTGCAACGCCAAACACTCCCCATCGCAACTCACTTGCTGAGGCTCAAAAAGGTAGTTGCGGAGGCAAACAGATAATACACAGTACATGCAGAGGGACACGTGGCACTTTCAGCCTGGTGGCTCAAGGCAAAATATTCCATGTGATCTTCTGGGACACATGTCTTCTCTCTATTTGGCCACTTGGTATCCTCTTGGCACTAAGGAAAAACCTATAAATATGACCCATTTTCCAATGTTCAATAGAGGAATTTTAGGGATTTGGGGAGATGCTGCTCATTTTGGTACTGCCATACATTTCTTCTTGAGCCACTTGTTTCACTCTCACCTAGCTACACACTCTCCAACTCCCCAGATAGTTATTGTTACTCATTCTCCAGCCACTTTCACCATTGTTGGACCATTAACATAGTTTTATCTCTCAATCATCTTCCTAACCTTAAAACCCCCTACAATAACTAACACTAGTGATGAAACTTATGAAACTAAGATTAGTGTGTCTGTGTATACATATAATAATATGGATGGATGAACCTATTGAAGGTGGTTGTGCCCTTAGTTGTGATGTTATTGGCATAATTTTTGGATGCAGTAACAATAATCCTCTTCGACCCATCTCCATACATAAATATGTCCATTTGATATTTTGGTATAATGACAACCTCTTTATAGACCTCGACCTTGACATTGATAATCCATCTACCTTGGCGCTTTTTTGGGATTGCTGCAACAACACTAGAAATTGTCTTGTACTGCCCGCTCCCGTCTTTAGCAACAATCGCATTAGGTGTTGTTTCCTTTCCCTTGTCTCCATTGTGTAAATTGAGAAGCTTGCGATCCCCATCATGAAACCAAGTGGGATAGCTATCGTGCCCAACCTTAGTTACTTCAAGAAGTCGACGCGTGCCAGAGCTAGAGCCAGAGTTGAAGCTAGAATAGGCCTTATTGATATCCTCAATTTGGATGTTGAAGGCTTGAAGAATGTCGCAAATACTGGCAACGATATTGATGGCATTGCTAATGAGCTGAGTTGTGTTGCCTAAACCATTTTCTATTGGAGTCTTATATTCGGGCATTTCAAGTTCGTCAAGGCAAGTTTGTTGGTACAAGACCACAGCAGTGAACCAGTTAAAAATTTCAAACACACGATCTTTGATAGTGTATAAGTCGCTATGACTTACCATTGAGAATGAGTCTTGAAGGTCGTCATTGGCATATTGCAATAATTCTTTGCAATCCTTAACTGCCATGTGTTTTCGAGGGTCCTTGGAAGCATCTACTTTGACAGACTCTACAACTTTCAATGATTTCACAACTTCTTCAATGGTGGCCTGAATAGCGGCCACGATGTAGTCCTTTAAGGTAGCGCTTTCATTCTTGGAGACATTGTTGAGGCTATTCATGCAAGCGTCCTTGAAGTCAGTAGGTGCGCAAATGCTAGTGACAGCCTTGATGGAGACAGACGCATTATCGCCATTATTGGAGCTTCCATTGCGATTCACTACAGCAACACCAATGACGATGCCAACTACAATAGATGCTAATGAGGCAACTACTTTGCCTACCATGTTGTTTTCTTTCTTTTACTATCAACTATGGATAAATAACTAAATAAAATCTAATAGAGGTAAAGAGTTTTGCGGACTAACGAATATGAGATGAATTACATAGATTATCTAAGGCTTGGATATGACCTAAATATAGTCTGGAAAATGCATAAGACCCCAGCGGCGTTGACCCCACCACCTCTACTGATTTTTGATTAGTCCATAGTTTTTTTTTTTTTCTTCTATTGGCAGCCCCCTACGTAGAGGTGGGGGTGCTAGAGTCATCCCACCGGGGGGTCCCAGCATTACCGATATAGTTTTTGGATGACAAACCTCCTCCATCTGTACCTCTACATATAGAATAAGGAATGTGATATATGTTGTTATTAGATTTGTTTGTAAGATTTGACCAGACTTCCATTAATATGGTGTACTTTTGTGGCTTAAACAAATTGACGACAACTTACTTTAGGGATTATTTTAGATGTTTTAAACAAGTGTATTTTTTTATTTTTTATGAAATATAAGTTAGGTTTAAAGTGATATAATAGAGAGGTAATGTGACTTAAATAAGATGATGTGACTTAAATATATTAGTGACTTTTTGACTTTTTGATTTTTTGATTTTTTTAGGGGATGTCAAACTTAGCCTAAATGTTAAGTGAATTACACTAACCGTCTCTATAGCTTAGGGCTTGTATTATTTTGATACTTGACTTTTTAATTGTGACATATTGATTTTAAATTTTTAATTTTGTTTCAAATAAGGACAATTGAAAATATCATTGTTTAATTTCAAGGGCAAAGTCGTCAATTTGATCAAATATAAACTAATTTGACAAAAATAAATATCAAAAAATATTTTTGAATTTTTAAAAAATTATTTTTATACACCAAAGATAAAATTATATGAAATTAAAAAAAAATTAGACATTTATTATTATTTTTTAACCAAATTAATTTTTATTATGTGTGTAGACGATAATATCGATTTTATTATTTTGAAAACCGATACAAACCACTTCTCTCATCAAACCGCACCGAACTGGATCATTTGAAATGGTTTGGTTTGGTGCGATTTAATCGGTCTAGAACCATTCAAACTTGAGTCATTTTTAAATATAATCATTGATCTATATAAAAATATTAAATTAGTTATTTGTTTACCATTTCAAACATATCCAATCCATCCATTTAATAAATATTTTTCAATTCTTAGATTAACAAAAAAAAAATTAAAGAATATACTAAAGTTTCAAGAATAATGAGTTTGAATTAAGATTATATATAATAAGAGTTTATAAACTTAGGTTATAAAAATAATAAGGTCAATTAATTAAGGTTAATAGTTTATTATACTTATTAATATCATTATATTATTAGATTATATAGATTATAAATATAATAGATGTTGAAATAATCGGTTTTGGTTTAGTTCGGTGCAAAAAGTGTTTGAATCGATACTGATATTTGAAAATAAAAAAAAAATCAAAATTAAAAATTAAACAAATCGATTATTGTTAAAAAAAATAGACCAAATATAGTCAATTTGGTCTAGTTCAATTGGTTTAATCAATTTTTTCAATTTTGCTTACATCCCTAGTGAGGAATCAGCTTGAAATTATTATGAAAGTCTTAACTATTTATAAGAAAAAAATTCTTCCAAAAATCTCTAGAAATCCATGCAGTATTCAATCAAATTTATTGGAGCGAGATTTAAAATTTTGATATCCTTTCAAAAATTTTACTATTCTTTCAATCAAATTATTTGAACTAAAATCATATGAAAGAAATAGTGAATATTTAGGGCTTGTTTGGTTTGTTTTTGAGAGAGTAGTTTTTGAAAATTGTTTTAGGGAGAGAGTTTAGAAATTTTTTTGGTTTGTTTGGTTGTGTATTTTGAAAGTAGTTTTGGAGTTTAGGAGTTTGTAATGATTTGATATTTTGTTATAATTGAGTAGATGTATGTGAGAGAAAAAGTGATTGAGAAGGAGAGAGGAGAGAGAAAAAGTGATTGATTGATAGGTAAGAGAGAAAAAGTGATTTTAAAAATTGTTTTGAAAAATTTACAAACCAAACAAATTTTCTAAATTTTTTTTTCCCAAAATCACTCTAGAAATTCAAACCAAACATACCCTTAATTTTTCTTCTCCCAAAATTAAAATTAATAATATTTCAAAATAAATTATTATATTTTTAATAAAAAAAATTAAGAAAAATATTGAAAATAATTTAATATTTTTAATTATATTTTTATTTAAATATAATTTTAATATATTTATAACGTGATTCTAATATTCAATTCCATCGGTTCAATTTCTAAAACCAAAAATGATTGAAAACTTTAATAAATGAGTTCTAATGGGAAGGGATCCTATAATAATATGATATTTTGATCTTAATTTTATTTAATTTAATTTTTTTTTATTTTCTATAACACCATTAAAATTTAATTAAAACTCTAAAATTAAAGGACTCAATTAAAACTATAAAATTAAAAAAATGCAACATTACGCTTTTAAAACATTGGTATAACCTATGGACCGAACAGCACGTCCATCCACTGGCAGGAAGGAATCCACCACCATTTGTTAATTATTTTTGATCGTACAAAACCTGAGTCGTAGTTTCCCCAACAATAACCTCTAAAAAAAGTCAACTAAGCATAGACAAAAATCCAACTCTCTCTCTCTCTCTCTCCCTATATATATATATATATGAATCAGTCCCGAACATTGAAAGAATCTCGGAAGTTTCCTCCCGCGGATCCTTCTCTGCTAAGGAATTTCTCCTTCTCTCTCTCTTTCTCGGTCATCAAACAGTCTTAGGGCATATATAAAACGTAAATTTCAGTCTCCCTCACTTTCTGTTTCTCTTCGATTTCTCCTTGAACTCAACTCTCTCTCTCTCTCACTCTCTCTCACTCTCTCTCGGTCTCCCTTAATTTCTTTCTTCTCCTCCATCATTTTCCGTCAAATATGAAACCAGAGATCCCACATTGATTTTTGAAATGTTGAACTGAAAGAGTAGATGATTTTAGTGTTCATTTTGTTTTCTTTTTGAAGAAAATTATGAACAAACAGAGATATTTCATTTATTGAAAAACTACATTTCATACTTACAACTTATCTATATATAGAGATCAATGCAGAATATTAAAATTCTTCTAAAAATCTTAAGAAATCTATGCAGGATTCAATCAAATTTATTGGAGGGAGATTTAAAATTTTGATATCCTTTCAAAAATTTTACTATTCTTTCAATTAAATTATTTGAACTAAAATCATATGAAGGAAATAGTGAATATTTAATTTTTCTTCTCCCAAAATTAAAATTAAAAATATTTCAAAATAAATTATTATATTTTTAATAAAAAAAATTAAGAAAAATATTGAAAATAATTTAATATTTTTAATTATATTTTTATTTAAATATAATTTTAATATATTTATAACGTTATCCTAATATTCAACTCCATCGGTTCAATTTCTAAAACCAAAAATGATTGGAAGCTTTAATAAATCAGTTCTAATGGGAAGGGATCCTATTATAATGTGATATTTTGGTCTTAATTTTATTTAATTTAATTTTTTTTATTTTCTATAACACCATTAAAATTTAATTAAAACTGTAAAATTAAAGGACTCAATTAAAACTATAAAATTAAAAAAATGCAATATTACGCTTTTAAAACATTGGTATAACCTATGGACCGAACAGCACGTCCATCCACTGGCAGGAAGGAATCCACCACCATTTGTTAATTATTTTTGATCGTACAAAACCTGAGTCGGAGTTACCCCAACAACGACAACCTCTAAAAAAAGGTCAACTAAGCATAGACAAAAATCCAACTCTCTCTCTCTCTCTCTCTCTCTCTCTCTCTCTCTATATATATGAATCAGTCCAGAACATTGAAAGAATCTCGGAAGTTTCCTCCCGCGGATCCTTCTCTGCTAAGGAATTTCTCTTTCTCTCTCTCTTTCTCGGTCATCAAACAGTCTTAGGGCATATATAAAGCGTAAATTTAAAGATGAAGGAGGGAGAAGTAGAGAATACAATTGAATAGAATGGGGCAACAGCAATCCAAAGACGAGTTACTGTATGAGAACACCATTGATGGAAACATTGAAGCTATCAAAGCTCTCCGCAGTCAAGGTGCAGGCCTCGAGGTACTACTACTATATTCCTTCCTTACATCTATCATCCCTGTCTGTCTCTATATATATGCTCTGGCTGCAAACGCTGCAATGCGTTTGCAATTCCACAATTATATCCATCTTTTAATGGTTTGAGGTATGATTTTGATGAAACGATGATTTTTTTTTTCTTTTTAAGCCAGTTTGATGAAGCGTTTATTGATGTGGTAATTATTGAAGAATACGAGGGACGTTATATTGGAAAACATAAATGATTGGACTTCAAGTTTAGAGTTTAAATTTGAACTTGGGAGAACATGATAGGACACCACAAGTCTTGTTTCCATAATAGATCCGAACAGTTTATTTTGTAGGCCCTTAGTATGTATCAATACAAATTAATACAGACTTTTCAGCAACCAAATGGACCTAATGCTCATTATGATATATATAACATTGGAAAACAAAAATATGGAAACCATTGATCTCAAGCAACTCCAGCGGCATGCTATATGAGCTTCATTGCAAAACGAACATGGACAAAAGGGGATTATGTACTCGACTAATTTAGCAGGTTGACAAATCCTAAACTAATCCCATGGATTCTTAATTCCCTCACTATTAATCCTACTAAGCAAACAGGGCCTTAGAGAACTCTTTTGATTGTCTAATTCAATCCTATTTGTCAAGTCATTGAGTGAGTACCCAACATGTAGAGGATTGAAATGCTGGCTAACCAAGATCATTCTAAGCACTAAAAAAATTGTCCTTAACTAATGCGACATCATCATGCCGCCCAATTAATATGCATTAATGTATGTTTGGGAGGGGAAAGATTGAGTATATATCTAACCTTTGGCATAATGCACAAAGTGGTAGCCCCAAGACTTGAACTCATAACCTCAAGGTTATTAAGCCAAGTCTTAACCATTGAACCAATGGTCACATTTTGAAACCAATCATAGTACACATTCCGTTGTATCTGGAAATTTTTAATCTTCATTACTTGGACACTCAAACCTATATACTTAACGTTGACACCTTAGCCACATTATGAAATCATCTACACACGAAATCAGTTAATAGCAGTTAATTGGGTAGAACCCATTGAGTTAGGTCTTTGTATGCATTTATCCGTGAACTATAGCATAGTCATTAATATTGTGGTTGTGAAAGTATACAGAGAAGGAAAGAACCCACTTGAAATTAATGATGTGGAGTTCATGTTAATGCAGTGGATTGACAAAGAAGGAAAGACCCCACTCATTGTTGCTTGCATGAATCCTGAACAATACATTCTGGCCAAGCTTTTGATCGAACTAGGTGCAAATGTCAATGCTTACCGTCCAGGTATGTAAAATGTTCTTGTTCCAATCTGTAGGTTTGGCAATTACTTTATGCATAGAACATGAAAAATTGTTCGATGCTTATTTCCTTGCTTATTTCTTTAATCTGTTGGTAATAAGTTTTCTTCGTGATGGTGGTTAATCAAATAGGAATTGTGTGAGTTTGATCCATTGTTGTTCTAAATTATACTAACAAATTTTTTCTTCAGGGCGTCATGCTGGTACTCCTTTACATCATGCAGCAAAAAGAGGCTTGGATAAGATGGTTATGTTGCTTTTGTCCCATGGAGGTATGTTTCATTGATTCAATATTGGAAAGAAACATGTGGCTATTATGGTGCTTCAACCTTAAGTTTTGGTGAAGGACCGGATCCATTGTGTTTAATATTTAACTCTATGTGCCAAGTCTATTGGATTTACTTATGCTTTATTTAATCATTATTCTTCATTTGATGCTTCAGCAAATCCTTTAGTGAGGAATGATGATTGTCAAACTCCACTTAATATTGCTAGATTAAGAGGGTTCACCAATGTAGTTCGTGCTATTGAGGTATTCTTGTGCTGCACAAATGTCAAAAGTTATGTCGTTGGAGATCCTTCATGTGCATTCAAAGGCTGTTATGTGGTTGACTTCTAATATTTGTGTTTGTTGCTTTTCAGAGTCACGTTTGCTTTTTCTCTGGCTGGCTAAGGGAGTTTTATGGTCCAGGCTTTCTTGAAGCATTAGCTCCACAGTTGTTATCAAGGAAGATGTCAGTGTACTCTTCAGTTTCTATTTTCACCATGCCTTTAATTTTTCATGTCTGAACTTCGTTTTTTTTTTATTTAAAACATATAATATTATGTTTCCATATGCCGCCTTTTACATTATGCTAGGAAGCATAGATACGGATATGAGATACGGATACGACACGATACGGATACGACGATATGACAAAATCTAAAAAAATAGGATACTGGTACGGCTAGGATACGTTTGTGAAAAATATATTTTTTAAAATTATTAATAGTGAGTTACACATAAGCTAAAAAACGTTGAGAAACCACAATGTAATTTTATAATGCAAAATACTAACCTTTAAGAATTTTGTATTAATTTAAGCTAGTAGTTTGTTTACTTTTAAAATTTTTAATAGGTCTTGCAAATATTTCATTTCAATATCAAGTTTAATATATTTATATTACAATAATAGAACAATTCACAACTTCAAGGAAGATGTCAGTGTACTCTTCAGTTTCTATTTTCACCATGCCTTTAATTTTTCATGTCTGAACTTCGTTTTTTTTTTTATTTAAAACATATAATATTATGTTTCCATATGCCGCCTTTTACATTATGCTAGGAAGCATAGATACGGATACGAGATACGGATACGACACGATACGGATATGGCGATACGACAAAATCTAAAAAAATAGGATACTGGTATGGTTAGGATACGTTTGTGAAAAATATATTTTTAAAAATTATTAATAGTGAGTTACACATAAGCTAAAAAACGTTGAGAAACCACAATGTAATTTTATAATGCAAAATACTAACCTTTAAGAATTTTTTATTAATTTAAGCTAGTAGCTTGTTTACTTTTAAAATTTTTAATAGGTCTTGCAAATATTTCATTTCAATATCAAGTTTAATATATTTATATTACAATAATAGAACAATTCACAACTTGTCCCTATGCTTTTTCCTTTGACACTAGTGAAAAATATTGTATTCAAGTTTACTTGTTTATTTATTTGTTGATATTTAATTTTACCATTGTTATATTCTCTTGTTAATTCTTATTTTTTATGTAGTTATAGGGGACATGCATGAAATAATTAGGATACATCAATTTAATAAATTTTATTATTTAACTCACTATGTTATTCTTATCGAAGAACTTAACAAAGTACTAGAAAATATTCTTATATTTATACTTGCAATTATATTATATTATATTATATTACTTTGCATGAAATGTTACAATTCTAATGTCATAAAACAAGTAAACATGATTTGGAGTATCTGATACTTCAAAATTAAGTATCCGATACTCCAAAATTAATAAAAAAATAATTAAGAAGTATCCGATACTTTTAATAAGTATCCGATACGTATCCGTGAGTATCAAAGGAGTATCGGTATCCGACACAGATACGATACGGATACGTCACCCTATTTGAAGTATCCGTGCTTCATAGTGAACTATTATTTAAGCCAGAAGACTGAGAAATATAGACTCTGCTCTACTGTTTATTTCAAAGGCCATTTAAAGTGTTCTTTCCTGCAAAGCAATAAGTGCACATGCTGATTATTACTTTATCGCAGTTGGGTTGTCATTATACCTTGTGGGTCCCATAATCCTTCGAAGCCTATGAAATTGGAGCTAGTCATTTATTCTACTTTGCAGGTATAGAGGTTTCTCATTGTCAGATTTCATCGGGATTACATTCTGGATTTCTCTTTCTGATAATATTTTATTTTGTACTATTGTGTCTGTTAAAGTCAAAGATCATTGTTCCATAGATACTTGCAAAAGATATTTTGGGACTCTGGTTTTAGGATTGGTGTTGTGTGTCTACTCTTTAGGTGTAATACATTCCACAGTTCCAGCTGTTTGCAGATATTATTCTATTGACTTGCTTGGTGTTACATGTTCTGTGTTTGCAAGCATATGAGAAAGGAATTCTTTGTTGTTACAATGTATTTTGGCTTTCAGTTTTTCATATTTTTTAGGAGAGTTTTAGTCAGAAACTTCTCAATTCTTACTTATATCCTCTTTATTATTTGTTATTATTACTTCATTAATCAGCTCCCCCACCGGATGGTTGGTACAGAAAGGTTGTATTGTTTCATTTTCATTCATAGATCATATTCCCCCACTCGATACCTTTTTTCGTTTCTAAATCTTTGCTCTAGGGGTTGATCCATGCTGCTAGATGAGATTTGTGGCACATTTTTAATTCATTGACATTGGTGTCCTTTGAAAGAATAAGCAATCTTCAAATCATATTTATCTTTATTTCTGCAACATCATAAATTAGATGTTTGTATAGGGAACTATGTTCTACCTTGGGCATTTCCCCTATTCATATAATGCTTTTATGGTGATTTGTACTTCTAGGTGCCAACTATTGAATTCATATGCATTTGGTCATTTGTTTAATGCAGGTTATCTTTTTTATTTTTTTCTTTACTAGAAAAAGGTCATTCCTCAATGCTGGACCCTGATAATTAAGATGGCTTCTAAAATTATATGAGGTAGCATGGACTACAATTTGAATGGAAAAAAAAATCAAAGCGAACACAAAATGGAAAGCCAGTGTTTGAAAATGTAAATCTTTAAGTGATGGAATTTATGTGAGTTAATATGTTGAATGTGTCAGATTCATGATCTTCTCTACCATACCATTTGAATGGTATGAAACCGCCTGCATCTGAAATTTTAGTTCAATAGTGCAAAAAGTAAAATGGGAGATGATCTTTTGTTCTAATTGTGAGGTTGCCATTGTTTAGGTTGTACATTGCAGTTTTTACAATACTAGATTGATCATCACAATTTGCCTGCTTCTTTGGCAGAATAATAAAGCACCTCATGAATGGGTCTAGTCAGTTGTTGTTATGGTGCTACCCTTGCAACAGCAATAAATTTGTGCATCCCCAGAATGTTCTCTGTAGCTGCACATTGATTCTGTGGCTACCATAAATTATGGTATATAAGTTACTTTGTACATGCTGAAAATATGTTAATATAGCCCTTTCTGGATAGTGTTGAATTATAGATAGTGAAGCTATCAGTACAATAGCCACAATTATTTCTTACTCAAAGGCAGTTCTGGGCTGGCTTACTAATTCTTTAGTCAGTAGTCTATCTTTTAAAATTCTATTGTGTTCTACACATTCAAAATTCTGCATTCATATTTATACTGATGCGCTTTTAGTAGCTATTTGATGTGGTTCTTTTGTCTAATGAACAGGATGCCCAGCCTCGCACAGTTATTGCTTTGTGGAAGGCTCATATTGAGGAACCAAAATTCCACCTATCAGATCCTACGCTGATAATTTTTGACCAGTCCACCCGTAATTTCCTTTTACTGAAATTATTAGTTGGAAATTCCATATGTTTTTCTCACTTTATTAATTAAAAAGGGTTTGAGTTAGAAAAGGGGGGAAAAAATTCAGATCCCTTGTGCTGTTATATATTTGTAAATGTATGGTTAGAGTTTCTTCTAACTTATGTACAGTACGGCAGAGATGGACTAATAGGTCTACTTATGTTGCCTGTTTTGGTTTTGCCAAGCACACCTTGATTTGAGGTTTTGCACTACTTCATGGCACCAAGATGTGGGATTCCTACACATCTACTTATCTTAAGAATGTGGTTTGGATCTTGAGATTTTGAGCACATTGGTTAATGGATTAAGTTATTTTGGTAGAAGTTAAATGTTTTTTGGTGTTCAATTTGTGTAGCAATTCTGTTTTAACAGTACTCTCGGTATTTTTTGCACTAAATAAAAAAACAGACATGGGATGGAATCATAATTACGTCACTAGTTCTTGATAAAAAAAAAAGGCATGGCATACTTTTTCTCCTAGATAATTGAAAGTGGACTTCTTAAAAGGTGTCCAAGTGAGTTTCAAATGGAAATGACATGCAGACAGGTGTCTGGAGTGCCAATTATCAACAGGGAAAAGTGTTTTTTTTCTCATACAACATATTGATTTAGTTGAAGAGTTGGTCTTAATTTTTTAGTTGGGGAACGAAGAAACTGAATTGTGCATGGCTCAAGTGTAAAAATGCTTAGTTGTGCATGGCCACAGAGTACATATTATCAATGCTTAGTTGTGCATGGCCACATAATACATAATAATGAAAGCAATCTTTTCCCATATTAAAGACTGGCTGTCCTTGCTGAGCTTCATTTATATCCTAATGATCATGTTCTTCCATACCAGAAACTCGATACAAGTTTGCATCTGCCAGTGAAGCAGAAAAACATCAAATTCAATCATTATACAATGCATGCAGAGGAATTCCACAGGTACAATTTCAAATAAAGTTTGTGCAGGTCTGAATTTTGTTCTATGCTGTGTACATTTTACATATCATGTCCAGTAGAGGATTTCGTATTTTTATCCTTTGGTAGTTATCATGTGGGGTGTGGAAAGCATCACACTTGGTAGATATTTTTTTTTTTTCAGGCTCTTGTCACAAACAAAAAGTTTTAAGCAATGGGGTAAAATTGTGCTGAAACTTTTTCTTTTTCAACTGTTTTCCTTATTCTATGATATGCAAATCGGAAATGCCATGGCAAAGCTGCAGTTACTGTTAAATGATTTAGGAACTTTTCCCAAGTTTCTTTTCTTGTTTAATGGCATTATTCTACATGACTTGAACTGAAAAGAAGCTTCTGATTCACATATATATTGGGGTCTCTATATTTAAAGTGGTCACAATGTGAGACAAAAATAGGAATCTTGTCTGCTCAAAGGAAATGATGGAAAATGCTTATTATGCAAGACCATTAATGCCTCATTCTGATATCTCCTGAAATTATAATTTTTTCTCACTTCAAACAATTTTCTCCCTTGAACTTTTTGGTATTATGTCATTAGTGCCAACTAATTTATGAAATTGTGGAATGTGAATGCAACAATTGAGTTCGAATGTGTAAGCTTTTGAAGACAAACTTTTGTTTTGTTTTACCTCGTTGGAAATTTTTTAACTAAAAGAAATTCTTTTTTTTTTCATTTTTCTCATTGCATTTCCTTTCTTTTTTTTTCTTTTTTTCTTTTTTTTTGGGTGCACCATTGATTAACGCTTCGGTATTGCAGGTTATGCCTCCCCCAGTACCACATGATACCCAAACTTCAGCTCCAACAATTGCAAGTCAAGTCGATGCAGAAGCAGCAGAGTTAGCAATGGCAATAAGTGCTTCAATTCAGTCTGCTATGGAGGATGGACTACCGCTTTGCCCCAACGACCACCCCAGCTTCCAAGCTAACAACATAAATGGTTGGGACAATACTGCAAATGACACTAGGCAAAATGGATGGGGCTCATACGGTCGGTCCCCACCGTCAGAAGCAAGCAGCAGTGGATGGAAGGATGAGCCAACTAAAGAAGAGTACAATGGATGGGGTGGGCCCAAATCCAAGCCTACTAACAATCCGTTTCAAACTACTCATACGTCACATGATATTCCTCCTCCAGTCCAAACAACCAATACAATTCCTTCAGCTCCTCTGAGTCCTTTGGATGTTTTAAGCGAAGGCCCAATTCACTATCCCTCTATTGATTTCAGCCCCGTGGACTTGTCTATTCCTAATGTGGAAGACGAAGAAGCTTCTAGAACAAACGAAGCTAAAGATGGAGATGGTTCTGCCTCTTGCGTGATATGTTGGGAAGCTCCGGTGGAGGGAGCATGCATTCCGTGTGGTCACATGGCAGGTTGCATGTCATGTTTGAATGAGATAAAAATGAAGAAAGGGGATTGCCCTGTTTGCCGAGCCAAGATAAATCAGGTCATAAGGCTCTATGCTGTTTAAAGGAACAAAGCTGGATATCATGCTCAGGGTTTGGAGGGTGATGAAGGTGTGATTTATTTTTTGAATCTCTATTTTTGATCCATGGGTTTTGCACTATACATGTTGTACGTACTCTGTTTATTACTGTATTGGGTTTATTGTAAAGACTACGTACATCAAAAACCAAATCATTTAACGGCTTAAGTTATATGATCTTGTACAAAATAATTTTATGATTGAAACGCTTGCACAAAGATTAAAAAATATTTGAGTTTGTGATGATTACAAAATTTACAAGTGGCACTGATAAGGAGCATTGGAGATTTCATGGCTGTGCAAAGGAAGCTTCAATAGTCACAGAAGCTGTTAAAGTATTAAATTCAAAACTAGCGATACCATATTCAAATATCAAACTTAAAATCAATTGGTTATGAACAGAAAAACCTCCCAAAACTATTAATCATGCTTAAGTAGCTTAGAAGGATAATGTGACACAAGCGTAACAAAATGTGTTTTTTGAACTAATTTAAGAGCAGGCTTGGCATGGAGATAGAACCCTTTTGGTATTATTATGCATATAAGGATGGAATGGAAACCTCCAAGGGTTGATCTAGTGGACACAACTTGGGGCATGGAGGTGTACTCTACTAAGCCTCATGTTCTTTACTCACCAGTTTCAATAAGCTCATTCAAATCCGTCCATACGGGGCATTTGTTCTAATTTTAAATAGTGTCTCCACAAGTGAGCCGGGGGATATCATTAGTTGGCCCAGGGACTCTGTTATCAAAAAAAAAATGATGGAATGGAAAATAGGCAATCACTTGGTCCATTAATTGCATGGAAATTGACAGTTCCACCAACCACCATTGCAACCTCAATGACCCCCCAACCACCCCCCACTTCCATTTTCGTCACCAGAGGACATAAACCTGCACATGGACTTGCTTCCGTACATGTCACATATAAAAACATCAATATAAGCCTTTTCGTAAATTATAATAGACAAAAAAAATAAAAATAAAAAGGATATATAAGCTCGTGTAATAGACTATGATGAGTACAATGTCTTTAGAAGACTGGGTGTGTCTGATATGATCTGAGTTTAGCTACTAGAACAACTCCAATGTTTTATTTATTTATTTATTTTTTTTTTAACATTATTTTTTATTTTACTTATCCATCTAAACAAATTGTTTAAATAACTTCTAAAGAATCTTTAACTATAGCCAATTTGGATAAGCAATGTTAAAATAGTTGTTGTAGTAAGTAAATTGTTGAATATAAAATAAAATAAGATGAGACTATTTACCATTACAATAGCTAATATGATCATTTATTGTATCCAAAAAAAAAAAAAAAACTATATGATTATTTTAAAAGCAAATTAGAAGCGTATTTAAAAATATGAACTAAAAATAAGACACCCTAATTACCGCCCAATGGGAAGTTTCTTTAGCCTATATTGCATTATGAAAAACCTCCAAAGTTCATAACCAAGAAGAGGGAAACCATTCATTTAATGGGGAATTGTAAAATAGTGAAAACAATTGTAAAAATATAGTGGTGCAAATGGTTTTATATTTTGATGAAGTAAAAACAGAAACCTTGCATTAAAACACAATCTTGATTTGTCAAATAGTAGGAAAAAAAAAAATGAAAATAATTATAAAAGATATAGAAGTGATTTATGAAGAAAAAAACAGTGACCTTACTTGCATTAGAACACAATCGATATGTTCTTTTATATTTTTATAATTACTTTCACTTTTCTTATTATAATAACATTAATACTTTTATATCATATTATATTTACTATCTTATTTGTTAATATAATAATAATGTAATAAATCTTACCATTTATTTTTTTTCAATGCAATGCTGACAATTACAATTAATATGTCACATAATAAGATAAAATGATAAAAATATATAATCATTTGTATCATTACTTCTCTCATTAATTCTTATTCTCTATTCATTTAAATATATATATATATAAATTATGTATGTCCCAGCCAAAAACATATACATATGATTTGTGGCTAAAATAGTCACAAAAGACAAAATAAATTATTTTAGTCACAATAAATAAAACATTACATCCAACCCATAATCATTACACTCTTCTCTCACAAAAAAAAATCAAAAAAGCTAAAAAGTCAAAAAATTCTTCCCAAACCAAACTTTTTAACCCAAACTAAAATACTTAAAAAAATCAAAAAATCAAAAAACCAACTCACTTTCCAAACTAACCCATATATATATATATTACGTTGTGCTTTGTAAAACGACAATATGACGTACACGGAAAGTTATTCATGCAACTAATGAGCTAAAAAAATCTCGAGTCATAGGTCAAACTTAGCTACCGACTAAAGAGCATATTTTGACACCAATCTTGCTTTCTTTCTTTTTTTTTAAAATTACATTTGTAAGAAAATAAGTAATTTTTATTTTCAGAATCACATTTAATTTTTTTAGCAACTTTTGTCATTTGTTGTTTACATGTGTAGAGTTTCTTTTTTGAATTTTTTTTTTTGGCACTTTTTCATAAATCTCATTTCATCAATTTATATTTTATTTAATTTACATTAATTTTTTATATTTTAATAAGTCCTATGAGTAATATAATTATCAAAATATTCCTAATAATATTTATATTTACATTGTGAAAGTTCCGTGATGTGAATATCCATATCGTAAATGTGAATATTCACATCATCAATGTGAATGTTAACATGTCAATGTGAATGTTTTCACTGTTAATGTGAACATGTGAACATTCATACATTAATGTGAATATTCACATTGTAAAATATAAATGTTCACATCACTAAATTGCTAACCGTTTAAAAAATATTTGTAAAGGTAAAAATATTCATAAAATACTTTAAATATGAAAATTATGATTTGATAGATTAAATATTCAAAAAATAGAATTTATTGGAATACAAGAATATCTTAAGAATTAATTAGGATATAAATACTTAAAAAAAGATTTTTTAATAAATCTTCCTTTTTTGGGTGGTAATTTAATTTTAATTTTAATTTTATTTATTTATTTATTTTTTTGTCAATTAGAAGAGAATAGAAAGAGGTCTAATCCGCCCCAGATCCAACAACTTACTATTTTTGGAAGTTAGAAAAAAAAATATTTTTTTTTGATTTTTTCTTTTGAAAAAATATATAAAAAAAAGGAATTTTTTTTAAGATCCCTAATAATAGTAATTTAAAGGATAAAGGACACCAAAAAAAATAGTGATGCATTAGGTTCCTGAACAACATGGCGCGCATTTTTAATTATTTCGTGGACCAAAATACCCTTCACAAAATCAACACAAAGACGAAACTGATTCCGACGACTGAGTTTCATTCCAGGCATCCAACCATCTTCACGAACAAGAGAACAGCACAACTAGGGTTTCAATATCATCTTCACCATCGACATTAGAGTTTCGTTATCTTCTGCAAATGCTAACTGTTTAAAAAATATTTGTAAAGGTAAAAATATTCATAAAATACTTTAAATATGAAAATTATGATTTGATAGATTAAATGTTCAAAAAATAGAATTTATTGGAATACAAGAATATCTTATGAATTAATTAGGATATAAATACTTAAAAAAAGATTTTTTTAATAAATCTTCCTTTTTTGGGTGGTAATTTAATTTTAATTTTAATTTTATTTATTTATTTATTTTTTTGTCAATTAGAAGAGAATAGAAAGAGGTCTAATCCGCCCCAGATCCAACAACTTACTATTTTTGGAAGTTAGAAAAAAAAATATTTTTTTTTGATTTTTTCTTTTGAAAAAATATATAAAAAAAAGGAATTTTTTTTAAGATCCCTAATAATAGTAATTTAAAGGATAAAGGACACCAAAAAAAATAGTGATGCATTAGGTTCCTGAACAACATGGCGCGCATTTTTAATTATTTCGTGGACCAAAATACCCTTCACAAAATCAACACAAAGACGAAACTGATTCCGACGACTGAGTTTCATTCCAGGCATCCAACCATCTTCACGAACAAGAGAACAGCACAACTAGGGTTTCAATATCATCTTCACCATCGACATTAGAGTTTCGTTATCTTCTGCAAAAATCATTTACATTCCTTCCTCACAAATTTCTTTGACCCCGTTTTCACTATTCATCGTCATCTCAGTCACATCGCATCTTCATCTCAGGATATATCAGCTCGTCATTAAAGTTTCATCTTAACTCTGGTAAGTTTTTCTACAATACAACTAGATTTTCTCTAGAAACACAGTTAATTGCATTTTATATTAACCTTCCATAAATTAGGATTTCAATTTCGTAATAAAAAGTTACATGAATTTGAAAAAATTTATTTCTATGTGTTTTGAACTTATTCTTGAACATGTTTGTGTGATTTTATCTGTAAATTTCTCTGGCATTTGAATTTATCTGATTTTTGCTTGATTTATGTTTCTTATTTCAATTTTCTCTGGCATGTTATTTTGAAAAAAGCTATTTATCTGTGTTTTCATCTTATTCTTGAACATGTTACTGTGATTTTTTCTATAAATTTCTCTGTAATATGTATTTTTAATTGGAATGTCTATCTTTCTCCGGAATGTCTATTACTCTCTTGTCTCTGTCTAAGTTTCTCTGGTATTTATAATTTTCTCCGACCACATCACTTTTCTCCCTTGTATGTCTCTATCATGTTTAATTCTCTCTGGTTGTGTATGTAAATTTCTCTAGCATTTTAATATTATGGACTGGAATGTTTGTTTCATCTTTGAATTTTCTCTAGCATGTTTATTTTGAAAAAAAATTATTTCTCTGCATTTTGATCTTATTCATGAATATGTTTCTGTGATTTTGTCTATAAATTTCTCTGGAATATGTATTTTTCTCTGGAATGTCTATTACTCTCTTGTCTGTGTCTAAGTTATAATCTTCTCTGGCCACATCACTTTTCTCCCTTGTGTGTCTGTATCATATTTAATTTTCTCTGGTTGTGTATGTAAATTTCTCTGACATTTCAATATTATGGACTTAAAATTTTCTCTGGAATGAAAATTTTCTCAAGAATCTATAATTTTCTCAGGAATGTGTAATTTTCTCTGGTGTGTTTATTTTGTTCAATTCTTGGTTTCAATGTAGTATAATTTTCAGTGGCATGTTTACATTACTTTGTTTATTTTATCTTGCTAATTGTGGAATGGAAATTTTCTTTGGCTTGCCATGTTTACTTTTCTCTATCATTCATTTTCTGTGCTTGCTAGATATATTTTCTTTTTACA